TCTGTTGCTAACTGATTTAGACTTGTGAAGGCAGTGGAGTGCGGGTGAAGCTGAGCGCCTGCCTTTCGGTTCTTTCGGGTTCACTAGCTCCCCTTTTTCAAATTCCAGTGTTTTCAAGTGTAGCTATGCATTATGCATAAAAAGAAGTGTCTGCAGGACATTTGATAGCAGTGGCCCGTGCTGGTTCTGCCAGCAGCTCTCCCGTTGCCTGTGGTGACCATTTCCTATAGATCCTCCAGGAAGGTTCAAAAAAACCACAACTAAAAAGTGGCCATGCCCCTGATAGTAAAGCTCTTTTTCTTTTAAGTCACTGCCCCTGTTTCAAAAAAGATGTTTAAAAATGGTTTTTGGATTAACTAGGAAATGGCTTTGAACTTACTACATGATGGTATTTTTAAAGAAATGAATTAAAAATCCTTGTTAACTAAAAGGTACCCACAAAAATGTACTGCATCTGGGCATGCTGGTACCTGTCTGTGAGGGCCCTTTACTAGCATTCTTCTTTGCAGAGACCAAAACTTGACTTTTTGACCTGTTCTTTTTCATTATACTTAGTACCAAGAAATGTGAATGAAGTCATGAAGGCAGTTCCTTTCCCTCTGTCCCTCTCTACTTCTTTCTCTTTCCCTTCCTTTCTCTGCTTTGAACTCATGCATAGTTTCTCTGCAAGATGTTCAGAATGTAGGGAGTCGGTATGGGCATGCACTGCCTGGGACCTGGGCAGTTTGGCAGTGGTAGGTGGTGTGCACATGACGGAACTGGTGACGGGCACTTCTCTGTCCATCTCTGGGGCACCAACTTAGCATCATTTTGTCTTCAGTAATCGCTCCAGGGTCCCTGCCAGTCTAAACACTAACTTTCAAGTCCCATTTTTCTGCAGGAATTCTGTTTTGGACTTTAGAGTCCTTGAAGCTTCTCTCAACATCTTTAGTGTCTAGTCTACTTAGCAGTAATGTTATACTCTACTTTCGTTATTTAAAATTCATTTTTAAAACTTGTGTTAGTTATGTGTGTGTGAGTTTACCTGTGTGAGTTCATGTGCATCACATATGTTGCATGCAGGAGCCTGTGGAGGCCAGAAGATGGCATTGTATCCCTGGCACTGTTGTAATGGGCAGTTGTGAGCCAGTATGTGGGTGCTGGGAACCTAACCTGGGTTCTCTAAAAGAGCAGCAAACTCTCCTGTTCTCTGAGCCATCTCTCCAGTTCCTTTTGTTCTTTTAAAAATAAACAAGCATAAACAGATGTTTGAGGGTTTTTTTTTCCTTTTAAATTGATATTTTCTTTCCCTGCCACCTAACACAGGACTGAGTGGTGGGAACTGAAAGCAACTCAGTGCAAGTGCCCATCATTGGCCTCTGTCCCCAGTCACCAGAGCTCTGAAGTCAAAACTCAGACCTTGCCCTTGAGGCCCAGAGTACAGGCCAGCGGTTTAAAGTGTAATGGCTTGAAATTTGAAATGCTGTCTTACCAATTACCAGTGCCAATCACTAACACTCCAGTAGAAGGAATCCTCTACCAAGACTGGGTTCATTATTTCAGTCAGAGATACTGCAAGTGCCTGACACCATTCTAATGGTTTTTAGCAAGTGCTCAATGAATATTTCCTAAGTGAACTTGAAAAGTTTATGTGTAGGGTCATCCCCAGCAAGACTTAGTAAACAAGGGAAAAAGTGTGTACTTTTGGCTTCTTTCTGTGTCTCTTCCACTCCATTGATTGTTTTTCCAGAAGTGCCACTGCCTCTTTGTACAAATTCTATCCAGTTCATTTACTCTTGATAATATATGATGTCGTTCTGTGTTCCTTCCTATTCAGTCATGTATGGTCACATGACATTATATTGTTTGGACATGTTCTGATTCTTCCAGGGGTAACCTGCTAGTGGATACTGAAGTTATTTCTGGTCTTTAAATTTTAAAGTTGGAGCTGTAGCCAACAGCTACAGTGCCTGCTCAGTCGCCACTGTCACCCTTGCCGAGTAAGAACAGTAGTGTGCATGCCTAAAAGTAGAATTCTCCAAGCACTCAGTTTTAGCATGTATTGCCAGATTGTCCTACACAGAGAGTATGGGTGAGCCAAGTTGCCACACCCTTACCAACACTGAATTTTTTTTAAAGTGAAGACAGAAGCCTGGTAGCACTCGCCTTTAATCCCAGCACTCTGGAGGCAGAGGCAGGCGGATCTCTGAGTTCAAGGCCAGCCTGGTCTACAGAGTGAGTTCCAGGACAGCCAAGACTGCACAGGGAAACCCTGCCTCCAAACAAAACAGAATGAGGAAATAGCAGTCTCTCTGACTTGGCAGGTGTAAACAGTTCTGCTAAGTCTACTTTGCATTCCTTTATGTGACTGGTTGAGAATCTTCCACTGCTCTCTCTGAGCTTTTCTTTGTGTGTGCCAGGGGTGGCTTTCATCCCCCGTCTTGTTCCTCTTTATCTTTATTCTCTGTAACGTTGCCCATTGATCCAGCTGGTGATGTATAGGGAAGACAAGTATCCCTGGGCTCTTCTGGTTTCTTTATACCTCCCTTTCTCATTATCTGTAGTTTGAAATTTCTGGAGTTTTGCCTGTCTTTGGTGAACTTTTGTTTGAAACTATTAAGTAAAAAGTTAGAAATAACCAATTAGTGACTTTGACAGTGCGTGCATCCCTTGAGAAGCCTGAAGAAACCGGCCATCTGTTCTGTCAGGCCCAGGATGAGACACTGAGTCACTCCAGTGTCTCCAGGCCTGCATACTAATGCTGTCAGTGGTCTGGTAACTTGTAGTTATCAGATCCGCTGTGGCTATATTGCAGGTGATGATGTTCAGATAAATGTTATTATTCTTGACAATAGCCCCAAATCTTAAGTATGTAATGCTGATGATCTGTAGATGTCAAAGACTAACCACAGAGTGTTTGTATTCAGTGAGAAGATAAAAGTCTGGTAGACTATTTGGGATAGAGTATAAGAAACAAGAGAGTAGAGGCTAGAGATGGCTCAATGGTTAAGAGCACTGGTTGCTCTTCCAGAGGACCTGGGTTCAATTTCCAGCACCCACATGGGAGCTTACAACTGTCTGTAACTCCTGTTCTAGGGAATCCAGTGCCCTCATGTAGACATTCCTGCAGGCAAAACACCTATGTACATAAAATAAAAATTAATAAAGTATCAAAAAAGAAATAGTATATTCAGATAGTTTTTGTTAGCCTATCTTTTTTTAATTGCTTTATTTTGTTATTATTATTAATTTCTTATTGTAACTGATTTATAAAGTAAACTTTATGGATTTATATATGTATGAAAAACATACTTTCTAGGCTCAACACTTGTGCTGGAATAGAAAGGGTTAATGATGCCACTCACCTAAATGTTAATTTTGTTTATTTTTATTACTTTATCTTCATTTTCATTACTTCAAATTTATAGGTGAATTAAGGGAAAGCTGACATTTTAATTATGTTTTATTGCACTGTGTGTTTCAGTGTGTGCTTTAGGAGGTTGGAGTCGAACCTTGGGTGTCCTCCTTAGGAACATTGTTCACCTCCTTTGAGATAGGGTCTCTCGTTGACCTAGAACACCCCAGTTGGACTTACTGACTAGCACTGGAGTCACGGGACCACGAGTCTCCACATGCATCACCACACTGGGTGTTTTTATGTGAGTTCTGTGCTTGTAAAACAGGAGCTGAGGGCTGCTCTAAGTAGATACCATTGTGTTAGTGGTTCCCATCAGAATAGTGATAGATGTTTGTGTTGCTAAGCCTCCGTATTTCTTGCTTTTCTATATGCATAAAGAAAATGACCCAGGCAACTTATAAGAGAAAGCATTTAATTTCCCACAGTTCCAGAGGGTTAGAGTTCATGACCATCATGGTGGGGAGCATGGCAGCCAGTCGGCAGGCATAGCGCTGGAGCAGTAGCTGAGAGTTCACATCTGATCCACGGTCCACAAACATGAGGCAGAGAGAAAGAGAACGAGAGAGACCACCAGTGACACATCTCCAACAAGTTCACATCTCCTAATTCTTCTCAAACAGTTTCACCAACTGGGGACCAAACATCAAATACATGAGCCCATGGGGCCATTCTCTTTTAAACAACCGCAGCACCCCTCTCTAATTCTTAGAGTTGGGCACAGTTCTACTGTCGTCTTTGAGACTGAGGCAGGTCTGTATGATATCATGTTGAGAAAGTAACTGTTAGCCCATTATATTTAGGTTCCATGGAAGGATAATGTACTTAGTTGTTTAGTTTTTTTGTCACTTTAGTTTAGTTTTTGTGTCTCTAAAGTGATCTCTCTCTCATATGATGAATTTCAAATCTTAAGCTTTTGGATATTAGCTCTCTTTTGTAGAGCTACACTTATATTCCTAAAATAAATTTTTCCACGTCATAGAATGTTCTTTTAATGTGATGTTGGACCTAGATTCTATTTTCTTATATTAGATATTTGACACTGATTGTTTGATGTCAGGTTGGTTTCTGTACAAGCTTGTTTTCTTTTGTATTTTGATACACATTATTTTAATAGGATGAATCCAGAAATGTCTTTTTCTATGCTCTTAAGCAGTATGGAGGCTTACTAAAATGACCTACATGTTCCTTAAATATATTTAGTAAGGAGTTTTTTGAAACTCTGAGCCGGTTGCCCTGAGAGAGGATCCTTTCATAGTTCCCTCTCCATGTTGTATAATATTTTTTTAGCTTTCCCTTTCCTCTGGATTGTTGTGTACAATTAATATGTTCTTGAAATCCCCTTAATTGAACTTTTCTTATTATTTGCTTTGAACTGAACAAAATAATCTTTTATTTTCCTCTTAATCTCTGCTTATTTACTCATTATTATATTTAAGGGTTTCTTTGGTGGAAAAGGTAAATTCCTGCTAAGAATATTCTTAAATTTTTTTTTTAGAAATTATGACACGAAAGGATGTACTTTACCTAATATGCATATTTTATTAAGAGATCAGTAATTTCTAAGGTCATGTGCCTTTTCTGACCACTTCCCCTGTCTCCACAGGCTCTGAGGATGAAAGTGAGGACGAGTCCAGCTTCGAGGGCAGAGATCCCGACACTTGGCATGTTGCTTTCAAGATCTCGTGGGATATCGAGACGCCGGGCTTGGCAATACCTCTTCACCAGGGAGACTGCTATTTCATGCTGGGTAATGTCGGGAGACCCTGGCACTGCCATTCCTCTTGCCTGAGCTGAGAGTCATGGGGGCATGCATGTTTGGGGTCTGTCTTTTGAAATAAACTTTTTGAGTACCTTGTATTCATAGTGAAAGTTCTGAGAACATGTAAGTTATTAATTTATTCTTTTCATATATATATGTATATATATATTTGCTTGTTTGTTTGTTTTGTGTGTGTGAGTGAGTTTGTTTGCATGTATGCCTGTGCACTACATGCATATCAGTATCTATAGGCAAGAAGAGGTTGAATCCCCCTAAACCGGAATTACAGACAGCTGTGAGCCACCATAGGCGCTGGGAACTGAACCTAGGCCGTCTGCAAGAGCAACAAGCCAGTTTCCTCTCAGGCTCAGTCACAGGATCTTTCTCTCTGCTTGTGTTTTAGTTCTTTGGAAAGTATTATTTATGGGCTTACAGTAAATGAAGTTGTGGAGTTTGGGGTGCTTTGATTTTTGCTGCTTTGTTTTGGAATTTTTGGTGTTATTTATACTCAACTTGTTTTCCACTGCAAAATGTGCAAACATATGCTGCTTCTAACGGGCTAGGGGAATGGCTCACCATGCAAGCATGAAGACCTGGGCGTGATCACAGCACCCTAGTAAATCCAGTACTGGAGAGTAGACAGGAGGATCCCTGGGGCTTGCTGATCAGCCAGCTCAAGGCAGAGAGAGACTATGTCTGAAAAACAGACTGGAGGAAGAGTGCCAAGGTTGACCTCCTGCTTCCACATGTACACACACGCATGTACTGGCGTTCACAGGTGCACCTCCACAGAACATACGTATGTCTTCTGTTGTCCCCAGGTTTGTCTTATTCCTGTCTGCTTACAGAGATCTAATGGTCTGTTGGCTTTTTAGCTAGGAAGAACCAGGGCGCGAGATCCGTTTTTGGTTAGGATTATTTTCCTGTTAAATTTGGTATTTATGGGGTTTCTGCCTTGCAGGTATGGAATAAGGTTCTGGGGAGACACTCAGGAGCAGAAAACCTTGCTCCTTCCTTCTAGGACTCCATGGTTTGAATGGCACTTTAGTGTTCTCCAGACCAGTCTATTGCATGCCAGTGTCCAGGTCCTTGCCATCGTCCCTTGCTAACTCTGCATTTCATGGACTATTTCTCTCAAAAACTTACTTTTTTGCACTCATGAAATAAGCTTAATTTTGAAGGTGCTTTTATATCACCATTTTACATGGAAAACCAATATTACCTGACCTAACTACAAGTGCTTTGTAACTATGACTGTAGAGAAACTAAGAGACTATTAAGTACACACTACTTTTCTTTGTTGGAGATCAGAGAGTCTGAATTTTGTTCTTTGTTTAAATAAGAGACTAACAGTTTATATGAGCACTATGCAAATTAAGCACACAGTAAATGTATGCCAATAAAAATGCATAGCAATAAGAAGAAAAAAGGATTTCATTATTATTCCTAATATCAGACATTAGATGTTTATTATTTGATTAGCCTAATGGATGCTAAAATGATACCTCCTTAGTGAGATAAGAGTTATTTACATTAGAGAAGGTGAGGGTGGGGCAGACAGACAGACAAACAGACACACTAATAACATTAATTGAGGGAGTGTTAACTCTGCAGTAGGCCTGTTTGAGGCTTTTTCCTTGGAGTTTGCACTTGGATTGGAAGTACCCATGTGACTTAGTGCTGTATCCTTTTGCAGCTCAAGCTCACTGTTTGCTTCCCATTGGCATCTTGCTACCGGTATACAAATCTGTTGGCTTATGAAATCTCGGGACTCTACACAGCCTTCTGAGGGAGAGGGCAGAGGTGCAGACTTGTCTGTCACTCCATTCATATGTGCAGAACAGAGACCAGAGCAGGCACAGTCTTCACGAGTGTGCCTCCAAGTGTGATCTTGTCAGTGGGGTCCCAGGATGCTGAAACTCTGGATGTTGTCAGTGTTAAGGGCCTCTCCCCCTTCATTCCCGTTTGACTTCCTGATCCATGCTTTTACTCTGAGTCTCTATCCATATCACTTAGTGCCATTTGTATAAAAAGACTGTAACTTAAGTTTTTTGTGTCCTCTCTAAATTTGGATTTTCTTGGGATACTTTGTCGGTAATTTCTGGTAATAATTTGTATATGTGGAAGAGATAAGAGCCAGAATGGACCCATTTCAAATAGCTTCCTGTTTGTCTGTGTCTGAAACCAGTGGATTTGCATTGTAAAAGCTTTGCTGTCTTCTGTGCATTTAACAACATCCTCTCTATGATTCTCTCTGATTAAAAAGCAGAATATGGAGGTGGGAGAGATAACTCAGGGGTAAAGAATGTGTACCCTTTTGCAGAGAATGGTTCAATTCCTAGCGCCCCATGAGGCTGCTTACAACTGCCTGTATGTAACTCCAGGCTTCTGACACCCTCTTCTGGTCTCTGTTGGCACCTGCACTCACATGCTTATATCTGCACACAGACACACATGCATGCACAGAATTTAAAAAGGAAAAAGCAGCAGATGTTCATCCTAGAGAAAAGAAACTCTGTAGAGTACAAGAGGAAAGATTATAAAAACAAGTTTCGTATCTGACTGATTCCTGCCCAGTCTTTCCCCATACATGCATATCTGGAACGGTAGCAGTACTAATAGCAGCAATTTATTATGAATTAATGACAAGTGAAGCATTCTGTTATTTTGCTTGTAGGCCCGAGAGGCAAATGTTAGCTCTTCTTATAAAGAAGAAGTCTAGTTAGACTGGAGGACCCAGCCGTGGGTCTACCATACAACTATTAAGAGGTAGGCGTTAGAACCTGACATTTGGGTCTACACAGATTTCAGCCTTCCCACACAGGGCCCTTCTCTTCTCTGGGTAGCCTCCTCGTCCCTGTCGCACGCTCGTTCTTCCCCCTGCTCTGGGTTTGCACTCCGCTTCTCTCCATTAAGCGTCCTTTAAGGGAAGAAAGGATGACAGTATTCTGGGTTTCGTTTTTTTTCCATTCTAAAATTTTTTCTTTTTAATTTAATAACTTAATTAGTAATGAAAACATTTAATTAATTACATTATCAAAACATTTAATTGATTGCATTGTCCTTTTGATGTAGTCATTACAAAGAATGAATGTATATATTCAAACGTTCGCCGAGTCTCTAAGTGTTGTGTACTTGTAGGTGATCGACTCAGGAAATTTGTGCTGCTTTTAGAAGCTGATATTCAGGATATAAAAACCTAGTATTTTCTACCTTCCACCTTCAGACATAGGTGACATTGTTGGTTTCTACTATACTGATTTAGGCATAGCACGTGTAACCCCCCCCCAAAGTCTGCATTTAGAATGGATTTTAATGAAAATATTGTATTTGATTTTTAAAATGAATTTTCTTCCATCCGCTATTTAAAAAACTCATAATTTGAAAAAATAATAAAAACAACCATTGCATAATTTTGCCTTTTCATATTAGCTTTTAAAAACCCAAATAATAAGGAGCCCCATGGACGGCTCCGAGCCTTCTGATAACTGAGCCTGAACTTCTCAGCACTTACAGAAAGGAAACGGCTTAGCTCAATTTATAATAATGTATGGGTCTGCAGAGGAAGTGCAGCCTGAACCCCTCTGTCTCAAGTGAACACTCCAGGGGTGTCTGATGGGGAGCGTGTCGGGTGCCGCGGGTGTGAGCGAAAGCCCTGTTGGCAGTGCCTGAGGACACCCTTCACGGGGTTGTCACGGTTTTACTTTTAAATTGGAATCTTTGCCCTAATCTCAGAGTTAGACAAGACCAGATTTGCAAACAGATTTACAATTTTCACTAATTTTTCCTACCAGGACTTCAAAACACACTTAGAGGAGGAAAAAAAAAAAAGAACGAAAGAAAAACGAAAAAAAAAAACCATTCATTCTGGTGTTTCTCAGAGTCAAATGATTTACCTTGCCACAGCTGTTTTCCATAGACTGCTTGTAGCCAGGGAGTTAGGGACTTGGGAGTGTTTGGAGACAAACTGGGTTTGTGTTTTCGTGAAGCAGATTATACAGTTCAAGGGACAGCGACTAAATTCTGTTCATTAACCAGGAGCTGGGTGTGGAGGTGGGATGTTTGGGGACAAAGGTGAGTAAACATTGGGCAAACCTCTGCTGGTCCCCTTAACGTAGCGCTGTGATGTCTTGAATGTCACTGTTCATGGCCGATCCCTCTGGTCTCTTTACTTTGATTACTCCAGTCCAGCCGAGTCTCCCTTTGCATGTCTGTTGTTAGTACTCTAACCAGCTACCTCAGAGCCTTCGTCATTCCATTCAGAAACCGAATCCTTGGCTGAAGCAGAAAGAGACCGTAGAAGTTGAAATGCCTGGCTCTGCTGGGTTTTGCTTCCACTCACCGTGTGTAGAGGGAAGTAAGGCAAGACTGTCGGTAGGACTTCCTGCCAGCTGAGCAGGTTCAGGCTCGCTGCACTATTCATGGCCCCCACAGTGTCGGCACATCTTTGAGTCTTGACCCTCGCTGTAAAATAAGAACCTCCCTATCTATGCCTTCTTCCTCACTGCACTTTTTAGGAGTCAGGGGCGGTTTGGGGGGCCTGTGCCTTTCGGGCTACACTTAGGATGGGACTTAGTGTCGAGGCTGGGACCTGAGCCATGGCACACTGGAGAACCAATGAGGCAAGGCAGTGATGGAAGAGCGCTGAACGTGGGCGCTTGCTTCTCCTGCCTCAGGCCCTGGGTTCGCGGGCTTCGCAGCTCATTGCTTTACAAGAATATCTCCATAACCTCACAGAGTAAGTACAAGAGTGGTGAATCTCACCAGCCAGCTTTGGAGGGGACACAAGTTAGCATCTGGCCACTGCTGAATGGAACTCAGCTAGCCAGGATTACTTGGTTGGGGGCTACCCTCACTTACGGAACCTGGTCATTTTTTTTAGATTTATTTCCCCGTCTGTGAAATACTTGTGGCTTAGCGGCAGCAAGGCCGGAACGCTATGAGCATTTGATGTGGTGTAGCCTGAAGTGTGATGCCTGCTTCTGTTT